TGGATGCGGGCGGGCGGATCTGGCAGCGGCGAGCGTGAGGTGGGGAGGAGGTGTGGCGCGCAGCTGTGTGGAGCCGTGAACAGGGCCAACCAATCGGAAGCCGATTAATCGATGATTGAAAAAGTTGACAACTTTTTAAATAATCGATTTATGTCGATTTAGTTGTTGCAGCCCTAATCTATATAATTCGAAAGCACAAGAAGGGCTACACTCAATGTGCGTAACAAAAAGAGAAAAAAAATTGGGACAAGTAATGGGGGTGAGGGGGTTGGGGGAATGTTAGCTGGGAAACACAAAAAAAGAAGGAAGTCTGGCAACCACGAAGGTAAGTAAAAGCTACAGTGAAAAAGAAGACCAGAGGGGGTAGTACAAGAGAAAGAGCATTGGTAGGGGATGCAAAGGGGTAAGAGGAGTGTCAGAAGGAGAAACATGTTGCGCAGAGAACGACCCAGGCCCAAAGCCCCACAGGCTATTTTACAAAAACAAAGGGAAAGCAAGGTGTGATCCAAATTTAAATGTCGGGGGTATTCCAACCAGGAGGGGTCACATTTTCAGAAATTTAGAATGGGGGTCAGTTAAGACGGCCGAAAGCTTCTCCTTTATCATAATACCTATGACCAATTATTTCATTTTGATTTGCACACACACTGTGGGAAGTTGTCTTTGACCCGCCATTCTAAGGCATCGTTTGTGGGTCTGCAGCCGCAAAGCATCTTGGGGCGGGCGCATGCGCACTTAGGATTTTCGGCCGCGAGACGGGGAGAGACACAAGGTGAGTATATGGACGCGTGCACCCACATGCAGACACCGTGGGACAGGAAGTACCAGCAAGGACAAAGGAGTCAGCGCTGGATTGGAGACCCGCAGCAGCGCTGGAGAGAAGACTGAAAACTACAGGAAAGAAGAAGAAGAAGATCGGATTAATAGACATCATTTAAGGTAAGTGCTTTAAAGGCGAACTATGAGGTGAGTGCTTTTCACTCACCTCATAGTTCTAGCCGACCTGTGACAATGAGACTGTCACAGGTCGGCTCAGTAGATCGGGAAGTGAGCGGCTGGATTCCCCTCTCCCCGCTCCGATCCACCAGCGCTGATTGGCGGAACGGACGGGGAGGGGGGGTACAACTGGCTCTGCCTCTAGATAGCCAGAGCCAGCTGTCACTCACGCAGCTGGGCGGATCTCGACATCGATGTCGGCATCCGCTCCGGCGCCTCAGTATACCGTGAGCTGTAGCTCGCGGTATACTGAGCTTAGGGTGATGGGAGGACGCTAGTTTGTGTCCTCCCGTTACCCTAAGGAGAACTATGGGAAAAAGCCCTAACCCCATTGTTCTCCTTTAATTAACATTGGGGGGAGGAAAAAAACTTTTTGCCTTTTAATGTCACTTTAATGAGATTTCATGTAGTGTCTGGGTTTGGTTCTTGTTTAGACTGTCATACAGGGGCCTTTTTTACTTTAAAGAAACACAAAAGCAAAACATGCATAGTATTTTTGGTTTATGTCTACCCAAAGTTCAAGTTCTTGGGTCAAGTTGGGAATGTGTCTGTGAAGGTTCTGAATTGAGTCATTCTGAATGGAGAAAGCTGGTCAGATGTCCAGTGAAAAGTCTTCAAGGAAAAATACAGCAAGTCCAGTTGCCTTGACTTATTTTTTATAGATAAGTAGCGAATGATTAAAACACACTGTACATTTATTTTTTTGGTCTTTGACCTTCTGGAAAGATTTCCCTTTTCATTCAGTTTATTTTTTGCTATTTGACCTTGAGAATCAACAGAAAGTGAGAGCAAATCTCTACAAGGTCAAAGGGAATTTTCCTCTTAGACAGTTATCCCCATTGGAAGATTTACCCTTGCCTCTTGATTCTGATGACTGTAACAATCTGGATTTCCAATCACTCTGTCCCACTGACAGTGGTCACAAAGATAAATGGAGAGGTTGACTTTAGCCAGCAGGGTCCAGTTTGGGCTACACATGCACTTTAATACTAATAAAGGAACTATAGTACAAAAGAAGATAGCAGCAAACTGCTTGGAGCTTGCCATACACAGATGGAATTTTGTCCAATTCCTGCTGGATTGGCTTAAATTCGGTCGATAGGTGGCCTTGCTGGCACTACCTGGGTCTACAAAAGTCGGTTTTTCAGTTGACTTGTTGAGGGAGCCAGGTGAAAAAAATTGGCTATCGAACAGTGACTGACTGCAGCCAATTGGCTACAGTCACTGTCCAGGTATTCTAATAGCTGGCTGTCAGAATACAATAGCCCACAGGTGAGTTTAGTGTGGATGGGGGAATGTGGCGGTTTTTGGGGGAAATTGAGCCCGTGGGGTTGAACTTGAAAAATTGTTATTTGTATATACAGCTTTAGCCCAGTTTACAATAAGTTATGCAGGTACTTGTGTGTGTAGAGGATACATTGGCTTGATGTTCTTCAATGTATGCTATTGTTGTTCATAGATGGCGTTACAGAAACTCCAGCCTTTTGGTACCCCCGAAATCTACATCTCCAGCCGTACAGACTCAGGAGTCCATGCACTCTGCAATTCTGCTCATGTGGACATCGAGAGACGTCCAGGAAATCAACCATTCTCAGAGGCCATTCTGGTGAAGGCTTTAAACTACCATCTAAAGCCAGAGTATATAAAGTGAGTAAGTCCATGCAGGCTAGTTCCAATTCTGCAGACTAAAGCTGGTTTGTGCCAGTCGATCACCTATTACCACTGCATTGGTGGACTTCCATGTAATTAGCAGTGTCTTGCAGCACAGTATTGGAGGGTTGGGTGTTGTGGTGTCTTCTGAAACATGGAGCTGTTAGAACTGTGTCCACATTAAACAGAGTTGGAAATTCCTCTTATTATATTTAAGACAGAACTCCCCCCAATTTTTGTTTGGGATGGAGTGTGCACGGTCTATGTTCTTCAGGTCTTTTAAGTCTTTCAGTGATCCCCAGCAGGGACGACTTATCAGCCTGCTCCCAACATGGCTTGGAATGCTGTTTAGTTTTTCAGCAAGCAAGATGCCAGTCTTGGTAACACCTCTATGGTCGGGTGTGGTTTTGCCAGGATCCGCTATAAGAGCAAACATCTCACAATGGGTGTTACCGGGTAAGTATGTGCAGTTAGTATCTCCAGCTTGTAAAACGCTGATCGTATAGCAGTATGAGTTTGCTCACCGTGTGTCTGAAGTTCTTTGATGGCCTGGGCCTGTGCGTCCAATCGGCTCTCCACCTCTTCCACTCGCCGCATGACATGGGACACTTCGGCCTTCACAGCTGAGATCTCAGACTTGAGGGAGCGCTCTAGGCGGGAAAACATCTCCGTCAGGTCCGATTTGCTGGGGAGGGTTTTAGCCAGCGTGGCTACAGACATCCCGGAGCCCCGGTCGGAATCTGTAGATGCCGCAGATAGAGCGGAGGAGTGGGATCCGTCCGATGGGTGTGAGGTGGAGGGTGGCATCTCCGGGATGGCCCCAGGGCCTTCAGGCGCACGCCTCGCCCCGGCGGCCGGGCAGAAGGCTTCCGGCGTCCAAAGGCGCGTGATGGTGCCGGTTTTCTGGGTCGCAGCGGACCGGCGGTACTTCTGTTTCCTCCCCATGCTTTAGGGATGAGATGGCTGATCGAGGCGTACTTCGAGAAGATGGGTAACTGCAAGATTGCTCGGGGTGAGAGACGGAGCTCCGGCTAGGCACGTCTACTCGCCGCCATGCGCAAACCACGCCCCCGTCACTTATTGTTTTAAGGTGACTGTCCTGGTCTCCCAATTGTGCTCCTGCATTGTCAACCTATCACATAGGCTTCCAATGGAGACTGCAAGTGGCCATTTCAACGCACATTATGCAGGCATGGTACACTGCTGTTCAGTGGGGTTCACAAGGTAGGTGCGGGGACTGTGGGCCCGTACTGGGTGACACCATCAGAGGGGGGTGATACCAAAATGACTGACACCCCCTCTGAATAGTTGGAAACTCGGAGAGCCCGACAGTTGCACGAGAAAGGAGGGGACCCCGCGGCATACCTTATTCTGCCGGGTGAATGTTCCCTCCTTTTTTTGCCAGCGTCCTTTACCAAGATGGCCACCGGCAGGTAGGCGCGCAACATCATTACGCATTATGACGTCCCAGTGGGGTGACACCACCGCTCAGGATGCCCCTGCTGCTGTCGCAATGAGAGAGCCCACACTACGAAATGTCATGGAGCCATCGCTGATGTGCATGTAGACAGGAAGCAACTGTAAAGGACTGCATGAGATCAGGAGCACTGAGGCACAACAAAGGATGAAACCTACTTTAATCTTGTGACCCAAGAAGCTGATCTGAACGGTGGAGTAGCAGCTGCCCCAGACACTTCAAGGGTACAGAAGGGATCTCCCCCCATGGCCAATAATAGCTGCAAATACCCAGCAGAGGATCTAGACCAGGGGTAGGCGACCTCGGCACTCCATCTGTGGTGAAACTACAAAACCCATGAGGCATTGCAAGACTGGCGGTCACAGGCATGACTCCTAGAGGTAGAGGCATGATGGATTTATAGTTTCAGAACAGCTGGAGTGCCGAAATTGCCTACCATTCATCTAGTCCTTCCAAAATACTATCTAACCTTTCTAGTTAAAAAAGCAAAACAAACACCTGTATCTCTCCGTAGAGTCCCAACACAATCTGTGAGATGCCAGTACACATGAACTAGTTCAGAAATGATCCCGGCCTGTAATCCAGTAAGTACGTGAGATAATTGAGGAACTGAAAGTCAAGTGTTTCAGATTACACGTTTTCTCCCTTTTAATTATACGGCCAGAAGCGTGTTCTGAGGTCAGTAAAGCGCACTGCTCTAAAATCTATTGCAGATGCCTGCGGCAGTGGAGACAATCCAGTAAAGAGATAAGTGGGCAACGCACTGCATGTTTATTGTTGCTAACAGATGAGATGGAGCGGCAATGATTCCTGGCTCGTGAACACAGAAATCTGTACATTCCTGTCCACATTTCATCCCTCGCACACAAAGGCCGGTTCCCATAGTAACTAATTAGCACTACAGTACTGGGCGTTCAGCTCTTACCTTAAAGGGGAGTGAGAACAGGCCCGCCACATGTACCTTTTGGACCCCCATTTTTGGGCAGTCTAGATCAGTGGTTCTCAACCTGTGTAATCTCAGGACCCACATTTGTCCTTGACCATTAAGTCGCACTGCAATGGATGCATGGCACTAGGGTACTGCACGTACTGGTGTGGGCATAGGAATTGTTGGCGGGAGGTGCCTTTGGGGTACCATTCAAATGAATGGCAACGCAACACACCTCCCACACCACTGTACCACTGTACTGGTGTGAACGGGCCCTCAAAAACACTGACATACATACACAGACACAATCTCACATACACAGACACAATCTCACACACTCAGACATTCACACATACACACTCCACACACACTTTTTTTTTTTTTAAAGGTCCACCAGGTCTCCCTACCTTTAGGAGAACTGGTGTGGATCCTCAGCCTGGGGTCCAGTGTGGGCTGCTGTGCTGTAACAGAGCTCCATCCATGTGTGCATTGCTTGTACATCTCCCTTGTGCCGGGAGCCAGAATGTGATGTCACTCCGGTCCAGGCACCTCTACAGGACACATGAGGAATCTGTAATCAATGCACGTATGGATGGAGCTCCCTCGCGGCCATAGCCCCAGCCTACCACATCTAAAGCTGACACTGGGTGCTGGGCAGCATATTTTGAATGGCTGGTTGGCGTGAGAACTGACAGTGCTGCACTAGGGGGAGGCAGAGCAGCCTCTCGCCTAGAAAAGTGGAAGGCATGCGGTAACCCTCTGAACACAGGGTTGTGACCCACTTTTGGGTCACGACCCACCAGTTCAGAACCAATGGTCTAGATGACTTCAAGCTGCATGTAACTATATATCGATTCTGTCATACAGCAAGTCCTGGATGTGCGGTTAGGAGACCCTCCTAAATAATGGTCACCTAGCTTGAGGGCCCATTCACAATAGAAGCATTGGGGCTTTCCATCTCATCTTTTCTGGATAAAGCTGCATGGTCTAGGTTTTCTTGTTACATTCTATGTAATTAAAGAAAAATGAATCCAGCAGGTTGGTGGAGCTGGGTGTTGTCTTTGTTGTAGCGCTCATGTGATATTGGAAATCTGTAGGAGATTCGACACATTGCATCCGCCAACAGTAAAGTGTCATTTGTGGCTTGAGTGACTCTCTTTACCTGGACATATCAGTCTGTTGTGTGTATCTATAATTATTATAATTTTTTTTAAAGTAACCTATTTTGTATGTTTCCCGCCCTCAGAGTCCTGAAGGCGATCCGTGTAAACAATGACTTTCATGCACGGCATGATGTTCTGTCCCGCACGTATGTGTATCGCCTAGTGACCGGATACAGATATTCAGATTTACCAGTGTTCGAGCGGAACTTGTGTTGGGCTGCAACTGAGAAGTAAGACCAGGAATAGATTGTCTGTCTGTCTGTCTGTCTGTCTGTCTGTCTTGTTCTGAAAGGCAAAGAACATGCTGTAGTACCAACGCTTACCAACAGGAAATGCTTTTCTTTATGTCTGTGGAATACTGAAATCGGATTGCTTGCGGTTGGTTACCCACTTGAGTCCCGGGTGGTGTTTTAGAACAGCACAGGGACAGCGGCTGTTTGTTCCAGTGCCATTTTAAAACAGCACTTGGACTCAGTGGCTACTGAGGGTCCCAGCGGCTTCTGAAGCTGAACCCACCAGCTACCATTGACAGCCGTGTCCAGCACTAAGCACAGGAGCTAAAACAATCCGCTCCTTGGCTTCCGATCTTCCTACACAGGGCTCCATAGGAGCACTTGTGACAGGTTGTTAAAAACACAATGCTTCCGCTTGGTGTTTACATTGATAGAGATGTGACATTATGAGTGATGTCACTATCCTTCCTCTGGGTACAGAGGATGGGATAGAGCTGTTGCAGCTCTGTCTAGTATCTCCCTGCAGCAATAGATCACTGATATACTAAGCTATTGCTGGCTCTTAGCCCTAATACCATTTTGAAAAACCGGGTCCCCTTTCTGTGAAAAATCTTTATGGGCTTATTCAGCAAAGCAGCACAAGGAGCAAAGCAGTACATGTGCCCCATGTAATGTAATTGGTAATAATCGATGGGAAGATGTTTTGATGTTCATAGGGCACCTTCAACAATTTCCACAAGACTGTTTCCAGAAGATTTTTTGCCAGCCCTGTTTTTTGGGGTTTTTTTAAAGAGAATTTCCAGGACTTTCAAAAGTTAACCCTTGCAGTGGGGCCACCTCTGCACTGCAAGGGTTAACTGCACATTTTGGTCTAGGGCTGTAAATAAAAAAAAAATATATCCTCGATCCTGCCTGACTGCTAGGCCGGTCCCTTCAGCCCCTTCTTCCTTAGGCTCGGGCATTCTAAGCTCGGCTAATGTCATCAGGTCTATGTAAGGTCCATTCCTTGCATTAGACATGAGGACACCAAGGGACATTCCGGAGCAGAGGGACAGAAAGGTGAGCGGTCACTGCCGCAGGATCGAGAAACGGCTGAGTGTAACATCTTTATTCTGATCCGTAGACCAACGTGAGCAGTTAACCCCCTGCACTGTGTGGGTAGCTTGGAGATCTGCTTTAATGTATAGGCAAAAATCTTTAAAGGTCCTTTAAACCCTAGGCTCAAGGTCATTGATTTAACCACTGACCTCGAGTCTGCCAGACTCATAGGAGAATACTGTAGAGAATGACATTCCGGACCCTTCCACTGCTCAGGGAAGGATAGGAGAAAAAGAACCCATGAGTTCATGTGACTGGATCTTAGCTGGCCTTTATTTGATGCAGAACTATGGCAAAGGGGGGCTTGGTGTTGGTCTGGTCCACAGGAACAGTTACCATAAAGTCATAGGCTCAACTCTCCCAAATCATAGAATGTACTCTAGTCCTCACTTGCACCAAAGGCAGTGTATATTAAATAGAAACTGCTAACAGGTAAAGGAGATTTTTGACAGAAAAACATATAAAGTCTCTTCTGCCAAAAACAACTTGCTTATATTTTTTTTTTTTAGTCCAGTTCCTGTTTTAAAGGGCTATTTGTGGTATCTGTGACATTTTGGTTGGATTTCCAGTATGGTACATGATTGGTTTTGTAAATAGTAATGAGCAGAGATTTTCTTTTGGGTTCATGTGGTTTGTTAGTGTTCTGCTTTCTTTCCATAGTAGCCTTGATGTGGCGAAGATTCAGGAAGCTGCACAGATTATGGTTGGAACTCATGATTTCAGTGCCTTTAGATCATTAAACTCAGAGACACCTTTTAAGTCTCCTATCAAGACATTAGAGCAGGCAGATTTTACTGCTTCTTCCAGTCTCCTTCCAATTCACAGCCATAGCAGGTAAGGCAATTTGCTGGTACTGAGGCCCAATCTGTGGCTTATATAACTGTATTGTGCAAAGTACAGTATCCCACAATAATAGGTGGGGACTATTATTTGGGTATAGATGCCTTTAACCTAAATTCAAGATATAATGGACACATGTAAATGCAGATCCATATACAATAATACATCCTTAAACATTTTTTTTTAATGCAAGCAGTGCAAGTACCTGAATTTGACTTAGACTGTAGGGGAGAAGCAGCAGAAGGAGCTAGTCAGTTATTCTGCAGTGCAAGGAGCATGCTGATAGGAGGAAAGAGTAGAGTGACAGATGAGATAATCATGCTGTTTCTCCTGACCAGTCAGAGGTTTTGGAGGGAAAAGACATGAGTGTTACTGAAGTGCAGTGATCCGGTCCCCTCCTCTGCCAGACAGGGTTATGCTGTGTGGCAGAGCTAGGTAAATCTCAACTAAATGGACAGAAATACAAATCCTTTGGCATGTAAAACAGCTTTTATACATATATATTAGGGATGCACCGTTAACGATACCAGTATCAGTATTGGTGCCTATACCAAGTATTTGGCATTTAGTGCTCCGATACTTACCTCCGATACCAGAATTTCCGGTCAGAGGGAGATCTCCCTCTCACCGGCAGTGCCGAGGGAGCATGGCGCCAGCTTCCTTTCCAATCAGGAAGCCAGGCGGTGGGTTATGACCTGCCTCCCGGCTTCCTGATTGGCTAGAAAGCTGGCTTCACTTGTTGCTAGGCAGCCTAGCTTCCTAACCAATCAGGAAGCTGGGTGGCACGTAATGACCTGCCTCCCATGTTCCTGTATAGGTTAGGAACAAGTGAAGCCGGTGTTCTTTCTCTAGATGGAGCACCGGCTTCACAGGCAATCTGTATTCGTACTCTATCCCTATGTATATTTATATTTATTTGTAATTTGTGCATTTAGCTGTTTCCTGCAGTTTACTTTTAAAGTGCAACTAAACTCAAAAAGCAAATATTTGCTATGTTAGAGGAAACCTCTACAAATGGTAATTGAAAGTGCACTTCCTGGAATGGGAGCGTGTCTAGGCACTCCTGTGTCTTCATCTTCATAGCTGTATATCTACAGTGTGCGATCTTGAGCACTGCTGTGATCGCTAGTCTTAGCAGACATGGAGTGAGATTTGGTGAAATTACTATTGTGCTGCTCACTGTTCTTTTTGCTGGCTGACAAGAGGAAGCAAGCCCGGCCTCTACCAAGATGGCCACTACAACAGAGACACCATGCAGAACCAAGCATGGTAAGTCAGTAATGGAGAAAGATCAGCTGCAAGGAGATCACAGGCTCTTTACTACTAATTTGTCTTCTGCCTGTCTTTTTTGGGCACAATTTCCAGAGTTCAGTTCCTCTTTAAAAGCAAAGGGCAGACATAACAGTTTTCATATTTCTCTCAGCACAGGTTAATCTATATGAATGAATGACACTGAAGCATTATCAATAAGAGAACAAACCCTTTATTTCACTGGGAGTCAGTGGAATCAGGAAGTGTTTTCTGTGTCACATCATTCTGGTAACATTTGTCTCCTTATGGAGTAACCACAAGAGGATTTATGCTGTGCCTTTTCAATAAGGTTAACCATAGGAAGTTAAAGTCACAATGGCTGTAGGAAAAGCAGAGACATGATCAGTAGGGAAGATCCAACAGGAGGTCCAAAAACCTGCCTACTTCACCCAAAACAAATCTGTTTTGGTTTTAGTTGCTCTTTTATAAAGGGTCATGATGAGAGTGGTGGTCAGACAGAAATCTAAAACTTAGGTCAGTTATAGTGACTTATGTATTCAAAGTGTATCTATAGGCTAAACCTTTTTTGTTTTGGATGGAGTGGGGAACAATGGACGCCAAGAAAGAACCTGCAAGGAAATCCGAAATTTTAGAATTGTCACCGGAACAAGAGGTAAGGGAAACCTTCCAATGAGGACACCTGTTTTGCAGACAACTGCATGAGAGGGGAATTCCTCTCCCTATGGGAGGTTTCTTTTAACCTCCTGTTGCATCCCTGGGGCAGGAAGTGAAGGGAAAGGTCCCCAGTGATACACAGACAACTACACAGGAACCTGGCACAGTTTTTAAACCATCCATACTCTATCCAAAACATAAAAATTAGTTTTGGCTATAGAAACACTTTAATATATTTAGTGGAAATTTCTCCGTATGCACAAGAATGACTTGCAGACTTTTTTTTTCCCTGCAGGGGTTGATGTATCTTAGACCTCATATAGTCACATGCTGTCAAACTATAGTTCACCTTCAGCATGGCTGACAGAGAGCTATTGCCATTCCTAAGTCTAGTCCATTCTTTGATCACAATAAAATACCCCTTTAAGATTGCTTCCATGCTTAAGCAGTCTTGTCATTCCTTAGTAGATGAGAGTTGGCTGAAGTTTGCCGTTTCCTCTTTCTTGGGTCTTGTCATAAGGATGCTCAAAGCAGTTAATCCTACAATGGTGAGTCAACTTGTTGTATTCATGTTATTGGACCATGTCTGAAGAAACTTAAAACTGATACACCCTCTATAGCATCTCCTTCTTCCTGACCAACACCTACACATGGAATTAACTTTTATTATAACATTATTCTAAAGACTTTCACAGCAATGGTTTTATTAATTATGGTGGCTGCAGCCAAAATTGCTCCTCAGTCTTTTCCGTAACTGTAAATGTTCCACAGTGTTGGGCAAGGTGGAAGCTAGATGGCTGCTCTCTGTCTGATGCCACCATCACCACCATATTAAAATGCTAATGAGAAATTTGCTGTTTAAGTTATTTCCACTTTTTTAAGCTGGCCATACATCTATAGATTATCTGCAAATTTTCTGTGGTCAGAAGGAAAAAGTGCAACAGATTCCTCCATCTACGCTAACCTTTGTGGATGGAGGAATCTCCCACTAGGCCAAGCTTCAGTATCTTGCTAGTTGGCCCCGCTGGCTCTCAAAATGCCTGAACAATGCCTGCATCCAATCAGATCGATCAGGTATGTTGACAGCCAGCGGGGTCGACTAGCAAGATACTGAAGCTTGGCCCAGTGGGGAGATTCCATCATTCTATAGGTGTATGGCCAGCTTTAGACTTGGGCACTCGAGATGTCCCAAACGATGATCAGGTGAGCTTGTTCTGGGAAGCTTGCTTGAGTTCTATCTAAAGCCAAATCTTTTTTGTTAACTATTGATAGAGTAGGGTAGGTTTAAAGCTGCTTTCATTTTTTTTACATCTGTGTCCCATTAGGGAAATTTATTTTCCCTAATGGCAAATCCAAAATCTGGAGTTGCCACTACAAGAAAATAAATCTTCCAAGGGGGACACTTTTATTCCCAGGTGCCCTTAGTGATCGGGGCAATTATAGAGAGTGGCTCTCACTAATGGCACATAGAGATAAATAAAAACTTTGAAAGAAAGCGTCTCATCCAGCACCATACCCTTACAGCCATATGGTGGGGGGTGCTCGGCTTACGGCGATGCCATGTGTTATTGTGGTAAATCACCAGCACACCAGGAGTAACTTCAATGTGTCATCAAATCAAATGGTCCAAACACTAAAAAAAATAGTGCAAGAAAAACATATTCCACTAATATTTTGTGAACAGAAAGGACTCTTCTCTAGGTGACACCCCTTGACAGTCTGCAATTATGTAGAGATGTCACCAGCACACCAAATTCCTCTTAGGATAGCAAAACGTTCATGTATTGAAATTCCTTGTCATATAAACAAGCGCTTTTGGGGCCACACTGGGTCCCTTCATCAGGCTTAGCATGGACAATGCTCTCAATGGTGTGCTGGTGACATCTCTACATAATTGCTGATATTTACGGTGCCATCCGCAGTCACTGCGAGCACCCCCCACCACTAGGGACTTTTGGTAAGGAGTGCGACAAGGAAAAGTATTTACCCCTTGACAGTCTGTCACCTTGAGAAAGAGCTCCTTTGGGCCCCTGAAACATTGGTGAAACATTTTTATTTTCTTTTTGTTTTCTTGCACTATTTTTTGGTCTCTTGTATTTGGACTATTTGGATTGGTAAACCATTGAGGTTACTCCCGGTGTGTTGGCTATTTCTTACCAAACAATAAAAACCTGAGATGGATTTTAACCCCTCACCACTCTATCCACATTTAAAAAAAAGTTTTGGTTTTAATTATTCATAAAACATCATATTCTGTGGGCATTGTTCATAGATGTAACTGGTGGTGTGTCTATGTGAGCCCTAGATGCAGCACGGGTCAGAATTTCTGTTCATATTGGACGGCGACACTGTTCTTTAGCTAGGAACAAGTTAAAATGAATTTCTAGGGTGGGAATCTTTTTTTCCCATGAATGAAGTGGAACATCTGCAGAAAATAATAACTTTCCCCCGGATTCTTTGTGCAAGCATCACCCTACAGCCGGCTCCACCCGTCATTGTAAAAACACAAATTTTTCTAGGCTCTAATATTGGTCGGTCCAAAGTGTTGGATGTAGAGCCAAAACCAAAACGTTCTGTAACTCCATCTGCGGCTCAGCATATACATTCCCAGCTCACTGAGCTTGTCTTACAATGCATTGCTCTGTTATCAGCCACGTTCAGACCACTTTACAACTTGTCATGATTTAACATGCCATAAACAGGCCGCCAGACGTCTACACCAAAATCCTCCATAGGAATGTTTATGCAACTTGGTGTTTTTGTAAATTAAAGTAAGCCTTGTGATCTAATCACACGCCAGGGAATATCTGACAATGCAAAGTATTTGCTGAACTTTAGATCAATCTGTCAAATGAACTGGTTCCAGTCTGCATAAAGAGGATTGAAAGAAGCCATTGGACTCACTGAATATAACTACTTATCACTTTGACGTAGTAATAAAGTCAAAAGACTCGGACCTCACCTTTCTTCCCCCACATCCAATTAATCCTGCCGCCTTCACCTTCGCAGCATCTCCAAAACATGCCCTTCCTCACCAATGAAATCTCACAACTACTCATACACTCCCTTGTTATCTCTCATTTTGGCTATTGCAACTCCCTCCTCATTGGCCGACCTCTACACAGGCTATCCCCCCTTCAGTCTATCATGATTGCTGCTGCTGGGCTCATTCACCTAACCAACCGCTCAGTGTCTGCAATCCCCCCTCTGTCAATCCCTGCACTGGCTTGCATCCCCCACCCCCCTTTGCCGATCCCTGCACTGGCTTCCAATAGCCCAAAGGATAAAATTCAAAATATTAACAATTACTGACAAAGCCATCCACAACTCTGCCCCCGGATATATCTCAAACCTCGTCTCAAAGTATCTCCCTAATTGTCCCCTCCGCTCTTCAAAAGACCTCCTGCTTTCCAGCTCCCTTGTCAACTCCTCCCATGCTCGCCTCCAGGACTTCACTAGAGTCTCTCCCATCCTCTGGAACTTTTTACCCCAACCTGTCCGTCTGTCTCCCCCTCTGACTGCCTTTAGGCATTCCATAAAGACTCATCTCTTCAGGGAAGCCTATCCCACCTCAACCTAACCACTGAACTATCACTTTCTCAAACAATTCATCCCCACACAGCTACCTCCTCATCTGTCACTTCCCCCTCCTTGTTAGATGGTAAGCCCTCGTGGGCAGGGCCCTCCTTACCACCTTGTCTTGAATTGTATTGTAATGTCTTCCTTATATTGTAAAGCGCTGCGCAAACTGTTGGTGCAATATAAATCCTGTATAATAATAATGATAATAACAAAAAGGTTTTTAAGCTATTTTCAATGCTGATTAAATCACTTACAATGAATACTGCTCCTTGATGTTTAAAAGTTTTAGTTTCTTGAAGAATCAGCTCGTTCCCTGAGCACTGGCCCAGATATTCTGTTTTCGGGTGGCTCCTTTCCCTTTGCAGGGTCCTATGGAGCCACCCTCGTGTGTGTGCACTAGTAAGTTGTGCGTGTCTCCACTAACACAGGCACAGCAAGTTTAAGACACTTCCCTTCCCTCTGCTCCTCCCTTCTTTTCCCTCCAATCTCCCAGCTAGTAGATGGACAGCTGCTGGAGACTGCTCTGTCCATGGTGATCTTGTACTGGACAGTAAGTTCAGGGAAGAAGAGCAGAGAGAGTTGGCGTTGTTTGGCCAATAATGTAAAAAAATACTTTAATGGACAATGTAAATTTGCTTGATCTGGATTCATCATTGAAAAAAGTTCGAGAGCTGATTACTATTTCAACTTAGGGCGCCTCTAATATGAAGCCCAACACTGAACACGTTCGCAAGCTTGTTTTTTTTTTCTTTCTGGTTCTGATGGATTCAGCTATCACACACACGCACTGCAACAAAAACAAATCAGGTATTCCACATGTATATGATGGCTTTATGACAACACCAATAATACAACGTACATAGAGTGTCACCAAGACTGTAAATGAGGGGAATACAGGAATGGACGGAAAATCATCCAATGGGGACACTGGTTCTTGTTATAACTAAGATGGGAGTTTACCTCACTTTGGAGAGGTTTCCTCTTTCTTAATGTTGTGTCTGTGGGACAGAAAGTGAAATGAAATCTCTTGAATGGGAGAGAAACAAGTTGACCTGATTTCACCATTCTCTACTCTTATCCAAAATGAGAAAAAAAGTTTTATGCTTTAGACATCCTTTAAAGTTACTGCAGTGCACTCTGTACCACGGGTTTTCAAAAATGTACAGCTTTCTTCTTTCTACTTCACTTGCTTCAGAACTCAAGTGAAGCCGTGTTCATTTTATGGAAAAAACTAAATGTTGGGAAGATGAGGAAACTGTTCACTTGACTTTGACAGGTTATGTTAAACCAGCTCCAGAGTGTTCCCTGTGGCATTATGCAGATATACATACTGGGGGGTTCAGCTGCTTAGGTTAGATGTGACCTTCTAGTCTTCTGCTCTGTCTATAGTGGGATGGGACAAGGTAAGCCCATTTTTAATGTATTCATAGCTGTATGTGGTGGTTTTGGTTTTCACATAGATTAGTGTAGGAACCACACTTTGCAGAAGAGTCTTAGCATTTCGAGGAATTAAACTCTGGAAGCTGTACCCGAAAAAGACACGGGGGGGATAAAAAAAAACTAGTCACCAGTATTCCCTGTGATCCCCTTGCAGCAGACCTTTCCCCATTACGTACCATCTCTTGTTTTACACTGCGTATCTGTATGGAGGCAGCCATCTTGGTAGAGGTAGGGTTTTGCTTTCTCATGTCAAGGCTTCCAGAAAGGAGAACAGTGAGCAGCACAGTAGAGAGATCACCAAATCCTACTTTAAGAGGTGCCTTAGATCTCTCCCTGCAGATATACAAATATGAGGCTTTAGGGCCTGTTCACTGCACTTACTTTTAGAACATTTCTATATTTCATTAGGCATTTCACACAACAGATAAATCTTTCCGGGTACTGCTTAGGCACAATAATTATACAGCACGGTGGCATAGTGGTTAGCGCTTCTGCCTTACAGCACTGGGGGTCCCCGGTTCGAATCCTGGCCACTAACTGGAAGGAGTTTGCATGTTCTCCCTGTGCTTGCGTGGGTTTCCTCCGGGTACTACGGTTTCCTCCCACAGGGACTGATGGGAATGTGCAGTATGTAAAGCGCTGTGTAAATTGTCGGCGCTATATAAATACCTGTAATAAATAAATATACAGGATTTGTATAGCGCAAACTGTTATAAGGAATATAAGGAAGACATTACAGTTACAATACAAATCAAGCCAAAATGGTAAGCAGGGTTCTGCCGTGAGAGCTTACAATCTAAAGATTTTTTTGGCTAAAATTAGGTACCTCGGCTTATATTCGGGACGGCTTATACTCGAGTATATACGGTATATCTCGATGTTCCCAATAACATAGAAAATCTTCAGGTACATTAACATGTGTTTGCAGCAAAGCCCACAAACGTTGGATCCCTTGTATAGATACATTTTCTGTTCTAGATTAAGTGCTGGATTTTTTTTTGTAACGCTGCACATTTTGGAGGGTTTGTACTGACTTAGCCCATTACATTTGCTTTACCATGAAGGGATATTTTATTTTAATTTAATAATACAGTAAGGAACCACTTGATATTTGGGTCATGTTGACCTTGGTGATCTAAAGGTTTGTCTCTGACCCAGTCCTTTTACTTTTTGCAGTGATGTCCAGTTTTGGAATGTTACCTTCAAAAGTAGATCCTTTATCTATAAACAGGTATGGAACCATGAATCCATGTTTATATCTAATTGTTTTAGCTTTTCGATAAATGTTCTTTTGGTTATTGATTATGGTTTCATTACTATATAATTGTGAGAGGGAACACCTACCATCACTGTCACCATAATAACAATGTAATAAACTCGCCCTGGGTCAGTGTAATAAAAGGAAATGACTATTAAATGTCATGTTGTCTGATCAAGTAACCTGTGGGGAGATCACAAATCTTTCATTCTAGAAGGGGTTGCTAGATCCCGAGACTGGGTGAAAAGAGTTCCAAATCCTTTGGCAGACAAGTTCACATATACATTTTTTCAATTGAGTATTTAGCTGTTTGCCTGGAGTCCAGCTTTAAAGTATATGCGGACCGTAATAATGAACTTCTATTTGCTCCCTTTGAAATCTTTTTAATATAGCACTAAAAACATTTTATCTGTTCAGCAAGTGCAAAAATACATGTTGTTCCTGCCAGAAATCTAGTGAGTTGATAACTTCCTGAGTGTGTTATGCCTGTGCTGCACTGTTATCAGCATTATTCTTAGTTCTCTCTGAAGACTACCGAACATGTTTCCCCTGTGTTTTGAAAAAGTAGAGTAGTCCTGTCCTAAGGTGACAATGCTGCTCTTCTATAGTTGCAGTGGGGCAAGTAAACATTGCCCTACTGGCATTGTCACTAGATTAAAAAAAAAAGAAACCTAATTTAGCCAAAACCTCTATGGACTGATAAGCTGCAATACAATACATTTTTGTTCTTGGGTCTTTAAATACATGTTTCTATGTTGCAAATTTAGTTCTTGCACTTCTTTGGTAATAATCAGAAAGTTAATGTTCTCTTTCAGGTGCGAAGAATGACTAGTGCTTTAGTTGCAGTGGGACTTGGCCTTCTCACACCAGAACAAATTAGATTTCATCTGGAGACTGGTGAACAAATGGCCTTCTCAAGAAATGTAATAGCTCCACCTGATGGATTGTTTTTAAAAGAAGTCAAATACGCAGACACAAGTGAGTGATTCTGTATAAAAGCGAACTTAGAACTCCATTGCATCCTGTTGATTCTTCTGTACCCCTGCCTGCACTGGATAGATGAGTCATTACTTAGGGGAACAGATGTGGCGGGCTTGTTTCATAGTTTGACAAGCTCTGCACTGACCTTTCATTCCTAAAAATGTCACCAGCCCATAGTCACAGGGCGTGTGGGAGTTTTTCTAGAACATATGTGGATAAGATCATGAAATGGTTTGCTAAAAGTCTTACGTGTACATAGTTACATAGTTAGTCAGGTTGAAAAAAGACAAAAAGTCCATCGAGTTCAACCTATAGAGATATGGAAAAAACAAAAGAAGAAGAAAAGCCTAAACATAAAGCTATGCCCACAATTACACACTGTTGATCCAGAGGAAGGCAAAAAAAACCCTATAAAGCATGGTTCAATTTGCTCCAACAGGGGGAAAAAAATTCCTTCCTGATCCCATAAGGCAGTTGGATATTCCCTGGCTCAACAATCTCTGATGCCTAATATACCTATAAGAACTAAATATCCAGTAATATTCTGTGCATTTAGGAATGCATCCAGATTTTTTTTTAAACTATTAACTGAGCTAGCTAGAACTAGTGGGGGAGTCTGTTCCACATTTTCATAGCTCTAACTGAAGAATCCTTTCCGTATGCAAAGGTTAAACGTCTTTTCCTCCGGACGCAAAGACCCTTGTCCTTTTGCAGTGACCTTAAAGTGAATAATTTGGCACCAAGCCCACTATATGGACCATTTATATATTTATACATGGTGATCATGTCCCCCCCTTAATCGCCTCTTCTCCAGAGAGAACAAATATAGTAGGTCTGTTTTTTTTCTTGGAGCTTTACTTAAAGTTCTAAAAACCAAACCCCCTTTTTTTTTTTTTTCGTTTTGGATGGAGTAAGGGATGGTTAAAACTCCTGTCCCCTTTTTTTTTTTTTTTTGCAGTCTGTGTCCTATTGAGGTAATTTTGCTTCACTTCCTGTCTCCAGACAATAGAGGAAGTGAGAGCAAATCTTTCCAAAGTAAGGTCATCTTATTATTTTTTATTTATTACAGGTATTTATATAGTGCCAAAAAATTTACGCAGCGCTTTACATAGTGCACATTCACATCAGTCCCCGCCCTATTGGAGCTTACAATCTAAGGTCCCTATCTCACATGCTGCATACAAGGGCCAATTTAGACAGGAGCCAATTAACCTTCCAGCATGTTGTTGGAGTGTGTGAGGAAACCGGAGTAACTGGAGGAAACTCGTGCTAACTTCTTTTACACAGTTGACACTGAAACAAGTATCCCCATTGGAACACTTTCTCTCTATTCCTGTTGCAGGGATGACTAGAAACGTTACATTGTACATCACTTTTAGTCCCAGTGAGAGTGGTCACCAGGAAAAATAGGGTTAACCTCCTCAGTGGTGACACTGACAGCGTTGCATAGCTAAATAGAAAAAGGAGATATGAGTGGTACACCTGAAGTCAATGTCCAACAAATATTTACTCCATTAAAGTAGTTCAATAAAAATCGGTGTGTGCAGCCTATGCATTGCAGTGGTTCAAGAGTGCCCCATTTTTGGGGGGCTTAAGGTGTTTGCTTTAAATTAAAAGTTGGCTCTGGAAGTGGGATTGGTGCCAGATACGTAGTGTATAGATAAAAACCAGGAGATAGTTTTTGCAACCAAAAAATACACCTTAAGCCTTGATAAAGGGGGCCATCGAAAAGCGTTTGCCCCACATATGGATTTATATTGGACTATTTCAATGGAATAAAACTTTGTTACTTTTGGGGTCTTTTTGGGTGTGTCGCTTGTATTTTACTTTCCTCATTTAGTACCAATCTGAAGTGCTCTGAAATACCCTTCTGTATATGGGAGCTGCCTGCTTAGCATAAGTACAACTCCTCTCTACTATGCTATATGACCCTGTCAAATTAGACCTACTCTGGGGATCCAGCGTCACCCACTTTGCACTAAGCAATCAAAAAATTTTAACCCATCTGTACTAGGGTTGCACAGATACCAAGTTCAGTACTCGGTACAAGTACGAGTACATGTACCAATACCTTTGAGCTCCAAGACTACACTAGAGAAAAATTCAAAAATTAGGAGTCAGCTGTCATCTGTAAGGAGCACACGGAGCTCCTGGGATTTGTACATCTCTATTGTAATGTACGATTTTGTTTATATAAATATAAATAAAGGGATGCACAGATACCAGTTTTGCGAGCACTGGTACTTGCCGAGTACTTACAAGTATGTGTACTGACACATTTTTGTTTATTGTCATGTGACAGTTTTTCTAAAACAATACAGACTAATGATTTCAGCACAGTGGTGGAGCGCCAGAGCCAGGTCCCAGCTGCAACCTCTGCAACCCTGGTAGTTATCATGAAAATGCCAAGTATCTGCACTGGTACTCGAAAAGTATCTGTGCATCCCTAATCTGTACTATATTCAAAAGTAAAAAAAAAAAAATGTTGGCTTTGGATACACTTTAATGATGGTCACCAAGGCCATTGTTCTTCATGTTAGTTTTCATATTCATAGATGCACTTACTTTTTTTGCACCAGCTTTTCAGATTATACAGAACCATTCATATCAGTGGCAGTCCAATCTACTGCCACTGCCACAGTCATGCATCCACATACACTCTTCTAGAGACAGTTGGTTAGAGGCCAGTTAATCTACTAGTATGTTTTTGGGTTGTGGAAGAAAACCAGCACACTTGGGGATAACATAGGTACTCCATTCCACTAGGGTCCCTGGGGAGAACATAGGAACTCCATTCCACTAGGGTCCCTGGTGAGACATGCGGAGAACTTAGGAACTCCATTCCACTAGTGTCCCTGGGGAGAACATAGGAACTCCATTCCACTAGGGTCCCTGGGGAGAACATAGGAACTCCATTCCACTAGGGTCCCTGGTGAGACATGCGGAGAACTTAGGAACTCCATTCCACTAGTGTCCCTGGGGAGAACATAGGAACTCCATTCCACTAGGGTCCCTGGGCAGAACAGAGGAACTCCATACCACTAAGGTCCCTGGTGAGACCTGGGGAGAACATTGGAACTCCATTCCACCTGGGTCCCTGGTAAGATTTGAATGAAGGACTGCCCTGAAAGACCACAGTGCTAACCGTTTTTTTTAATCTGCCAAATTTGTGAAAGGAGAATGCACAGCAATCAGATTTCATTTTTTTTTTAGCCACAGCAGACGTCTATAAAAAGAACTGCCTGATTTGTGTGTGAATCCCGTGGCCCTTAGATTTCCAGGACCAGTTAGATAATAAACCTGAGATAATGTCCCACTGCTGGAAAAGAATGATAGTACAAAATGTAACTCTATGATGAGGCAAAGCACCAGATTCCACCTTGTGTTTGGTCCTCGAGAGTCTCCAATGCAGTTCACTAAATGAAGCCTTTTTCCAGTGACAAAAGAGGGGAAAGCTGCTTATGGTAATTTCCTATAAATTTGGCAGCATTTCAGAGAGAGCTCTCATTTTATCTTCTTGCTTATTAGTGACAGTAAGGAAGAGAACAGTGAAAGGAGCTGCCTGGAGGACACAATGCTTGCTCTGTTGTATTGTGCCTGCAGATTTCAGCTCCAAGTCCGCATTCTATGTCTCTCTCCCTTCAAGCTGTGTAACTGCACAGCTGCTGACATAATGGAACCACCACAGTAGTCATTATTATATGCCTGGGATGTTCTGTTTTTATAAATAATTCCCTAATTGCACCACTTGGGGGAGATCAAACTGGTAGAATTTTAGAAAAATATTTGTCAGATAAATATGGAATATTGCATATTAACATTGCGTATTCTCCTTCTGAGACAGCAGGCGGAGCTTTAGGCTACTCTTTACATATTTATCTATTTACTCCTCTGTAAAATAAAGGTCACTGTCTATGGAGATCAGTAGCTCAAGGTGAAATTTACACACATGATTGAATGACTCCTCCCTTATCAGATGGCTGGGTCCAAGCTCTTGGTTAGGGCCAGTCTGCTTGAAAAGTGTTTACTGCTCTACTGTCTCTTTAGATAAGCCATAGTGACCTGGGAATTCTTTGTCAGATATTTAGTGTTAATTTGTAATATAGCGGTTATATGCATATAGTAACAATAGATACAGTACAACTAAAAATATATAAACTTAAAGCGGAATGTCATGTTTATATTTTTT